ACAGAAGCGCGCGGAGCTGCTGCTGGTTGGGTTGAATGACAGAGCGGCTTCGGTGCGGGGGAGCTGCCTCAAGATGCTGCGCGCCTGGGTGCAGCAGCGGGACCTGCTGCTGCAGCTGCAGCAGCAGCAGCAGCAGCAACAGCAGCAGCAAGAACAGCAGCAGCAGCAGAAGCGGGAGGGACAGGAGCAGCAGCAGGAGGGTCAGCAGCAACCGGAGGAGGAGATGCTGCAGGATGCTTTAGAGGACAAGCATCAGCATCAGCAGCAGCAGCAGCAGCAGCAGAAAGAGCAGCAGCAGCAGCAGCAAGAGCAGCAAGAGCGGCAGCAGTTTGCTGCTGCATGCGGCGGCCTCGTTGCTTTTATAGAAGATCTGGGGGAGTGTCTGCCAGCAGCAGAAGGAGCTGTTGAGCTCGCAGTCAAAGAAATACTTATGGCGTTTCCTAACGATAGTAATGCTGCTGCTGCTGCTGCTGCTGCTGCTGCTGTTGGTGGTGGTGGTGGTGGTTCTGTTGGTGCTGCTGCTGTTGCTGCTGCTGCTGTTGCTGCTGCTGGTGGTGGTGGTGGTGGTGGTGGTTCTGTTGGTGCTGCTGCTGCTGCTGCTGCTGCTGCTTCTGTTGCTGCTGCTGCTGCTGTTGGTGGTGGTGGTTCTGTTGGTGCTGCTGCTGTTGTTGCTGCTGCTTGTGCTGCGGGTTCTGTTGGTGCTGCTGCTGCTGTTTCTTGGTTGCTGCTGGAGCTTCTGTTGCTGCTGGTGGTGCTTCTGTTGTTGTTGCTGCTTCTGTTGCTGTTGCTTCTGCTGCTGCAATTGCTCTTACTCCTGCTGCTGCTGGTGCTGCTGCTGCTGCTGCTGCTGCTGCAGGCGCAGCAGCAGGGATTCGGCGGTTGCTGGAGCGGCGCGGGGCGAAGTGTCTGAGCGAGTTGACCCCAGGGGCAGTCTTCTTGCTTCGGGTGTATGCGGAGCACATGGCGACGCCAGCAGAGCGGTAGGGTTTAGGGTTTAGGGTTTAGGGTTTAGGGTTTAGGGTTTACGGGTTGGGGTTTAGGGTTTAGGGTTTATTGTTTATGGGTTGAGGCGGTTTGTTATACAAACCAAACGTCATCTCTTATTTCGGCTTAGGGGCTGCAGTTTATGCCTAGGGTTTAGGGTTTAGGGTTTGGGGTTTAGGGTTTAGGGTTTTCGCTGGTACCCGGGTTGACGCCTCTGTTTTATGGCTTGCTGCTGCTGCTTCTGCTGCTGCTGCTGCTGCTGCTGTTGCTGCTGCTGTTGTTGCTGCTGCAGTAGCAACATCGACATTTCACAGTTGCATGAGCTGTTGATGCGGCTGCTGAAGGCGGCGCAGCAGGTGGAGCAGCAGCAGCTGCTGCTGCTGCAGCAGATGGCATCTGCTGCTGCTCCTGACGCAGCATGCGAGGCTTCACTGCTCGAAGCCCAGAGGGAGGCGGAAAGCGTGAGCTCATTGCTGCTGCTGCTGCTGCTGCTGCTGTTAGCACAGGTGCTGCTGATTGCGGACAGCTGTGGTTTTCGGTGTAGCTGCAGCAGCTGCTGCAGCAGCAACTGCAGCAGCAACTGCTGCAGCTGGTGTTTGCGTCCCATACACATTTGTAATTGTTAGAAGGTTGCTGCCTAGGGTTTAGGGTTTAGGGTTTAGGGTTTAGGGTTTAGGGTTTGTGTTGCGCTGCAGCACCAACTGACACTGCTGGGTTGTGTGCGGCAGCTGCTGCTGCTGGCTTGCTGCTGCGGCATTTCGTCTCCAGACACAGACCGTCTCCTTGAGGAGGCATGCGAGCTAACACTAGCCACTGCTCCCCTCGGTGAGGGTTTAGGGTTTAGGGTTTAGGGTTTAGGGTTTGGCTTGAAGCTGTCTCGCCCCTTCTCGCCTTTACTGGCTGCTCTGCCTCTCACTCGACGCGTGCGGGTTAAGGGTTTAGGGTTTAAGAATTAGGGTTTAGGGTTTAGTGTATGGTGTTGAGGGTTTAGGGTTTAGGGTTTAGGGTTTAGGGTTTGGGGTTTGCTGCAGTTGACGTGCGTCGGTTGCTGCTGGGTAACTTGAGCCCCGCGGAGCAGAGCATTTTCCCTTGGCCCAACCGTGGCAGCAGCAGCAGCAGCAGCAGCAGCAACAGCAACAGCAGCAGCAGCAGCAGCACAACCACTGTTCAGGGAGGCTATTCTTTGTGGCCCGCATACTGGTTAAGTAATACTGCTGCTGCTGCTGCAGTGCAGCTGCTGCTGCAGCTGCAGCACCGGCAGCATCAGCAGCAGATCGAGGCTGAGTGTGGCCTCACAGCAAAAATATGTTCGTGTCTAGCGGAGCTGCATGAGCCCCTTGAAAGTATGCTGCTGCTGCTGCTGCTGCTGCTGCTGCTTCTGTTGCTGCTGCTGCTTCTGTTGCTGCTTCTGTTGCTGCTGGTGCTTGCGCTCTTGTTGTTGTTGCTGCTACTGTTGGTGCTGCTGCTGCTGGGCGCGCGAGTGCGACCTAGCCTCTGGCTGCTGTTGCTGCTGTTG